GATTTTTAAGGATTTTCTTTAGTCCGGCTCATTTTTTTTTTTTTTTAAATTCATTTTTAATCACATGTTTTATGAGACTCATACCACACTTTTATTAAAATTTAAAAAAAAAAATATAAAAAAATCTAAGTTTTAGTCAAACGAGATGAACTCTTTATTTAAAACTTAAGAGAATTTAAAGGTAGATGACTGCATGAACATGATTTGGGTGAATGTTAATGAAACGATGTGGAGGAAAAGGAGTTGGCAAGTGACATGATGTGACAGAGTTTTCCTTTTATTTTATTTAAATTTTTCTTTATGCTTGTCATTCTTAGCTCCTTTTATATATATATAATAATTTCTTGTTTATTTTATCTTTCTTCACCATTTATGTTGGTTAGAGAACTAAAACATGAAGCACTTAAAGTAGAAAATCAATTAAAAACAACCCAATAAAGCAATTTGGTTTTCAAGAAACTAAATTGTGACAACAAACTTCGACTTATTCTACTATGCGTGAACATGCATGAACAATGTAAACAAGATACATGTTATTGGAGATAATATTCGGTAACTATAATAACTGATTAACAAACTAAGTTTTTTGAATTTAAATATTGGTTTTATTGAGAATTAAATATCATGTTGTAATTGAAAGAATTTGCAAAACTATTAATCGATCGTCCACTTTTAAACATATCAAGCATGTTGAGTACAATGTTTGATACACTTGCTATACAAGACGTATTATTTATTACTTGAGAGTATTGTCTTATCGAATAGGTTGACTTTGATACTAAAAAACCTTAAAAAATAAAAATCGAAAACAAAGCAATTTCCATTTACATTTGGACTCCATCTTTGGTTCCCTTTCTTCCTTTCTTGAATCCCGAACAAGCCATATTAATTACAAAAGTTTGTAAAAACTTGACATGAACATGCTGAAGTTTTGTAATATTCACGTTGAAGTTGGCCTGTATAACAATGTTGTTGCGAAATATGTTGAAAATATTTTATATTTTGAGAATATTTTGCACGAAGTTCTTCAAACTATAATGAAAACTATTTTATTTTTAGACAAAGATGATTTTTAAGTTGTTGATAGTTATATGGTTGGTTTGTAGATTGTAAATAACTAGTTTTAAGTTTGATTCTTTCGAAGGAGAAAGTTATGAATTTTCTCCATTAAATAAGGAGTATAAGGTTATGAATTTCATTTTTTACCATCTAAACCATTAAAATATATAAAATAGAATTATGTTAAAATCTTCAAATTCAAGAAATCCCCGAAAATTCATTGAACTAACGCGAGGACACTCTCCTTGATTCAAGTAAATTTAGGCATATATCTTTAATTCTTATTTCACTATAAATATAGGAACTGTACTAGTGATTATGAAAATCGATTTTTTGTCCGTAGAGGGAAAAAATGAATCCCACCTGTAAGTAAGTAAAAAATGACTGCTGAAACAACGAAATAGTTGTCCAAAAATTGAGTTTTTAGTATGAAAAATTGCTACCGAATGAGGGCATATTATGTGAGTTGGAATTTGTTACTATTAAAAATTGGGTAATTTGCTCACGCTATTATTTTTGTTTGTTGCACAACGATTTAATTGCAATGAAGCTCTTTAAACTTTAGTCATTGTTAAACTCATGACTTTTACTTTTCTCCTAGAACATTAACCTTCAACATTCCGTTAATTAATATATTTGATCCCTAATGGCAGTTACTCTAAAAAAGAACTTAAAAAAAAAAAAATGCTTGCTAGAGGCTTATAAAAAGACTTATTTGCCCTCATATTTTTTGTTAGCAATAAATAAATAAAACACAACAAATAGAAAAGTTCGACAATATTTCGTCATCATTTCAAAGTGCGCAAACAAAGGAACAAGATGTGATAATTAATTTAAGGTTATGAATGAGAATTCAAACGGAAAAAAGATAGAAACATATATGTGACAATGGCATAGGTTAAGAACCTTCATTGCAATTAAAATATGATACAACAAAAAAGCTGTAATTTAAATATAATTACCCTATAAAATAACCTTATCATTTTATCACTTGACGATACCAAGTGTAGGAGGGCATTTCTCCGCATCTCATCTCATCTCATGTCTATATAAGTACAGGGTAAGTTTAATGAATACTCATTGAACTTTATATTACATTACTACCTACTCACTAAACATTAAAACATTACTCATTGCTCACTCATCTATCAAATTGCTTACTCGTTGATTGCTCATCTGATTTTCGTCACTTTAAACTAACAGAATCTACCAACATGGCACATCACACATGGAATGGGCCAAAAGTGTAGAAAGCCACTCCCGGACCTTCATCTTCTCCCTCCAGTTCTTGGAACTTGAATACAACCTAGTAAATGCACCTGATTTGGGGGCGAATTTGGGACGCTTCGTCCATGGGTACGTTTGGGCAAGAAAATGAAAGCTGTAATTGTTGTTTTACGCCCATTCGATCTTGGAAAGAAAAAGCACAAAGCCATGGCTACTTAGTTGGTTGCAACCTTCGCTCAGTCTACCTCTATGATTCCCCGTCGTGGCCTTGCTGGCGCCGCTGATCGTCATGGGCCACCTAAGGTTGATTTTTGGAAAGACCCCATAAGTCCATCCAAGAGGAAGGAAGAGCACTTCGTGAATGTCTACTTATCTGAATGGGGTTTGCTTTTCTTTGGAGGGTACAAGTTCTTCACGGGAGGCAAGAAGAACAATGTGAAATTGGTGGAAGCAACACATTAGATTATTGGCATTTTTGTGGTTTTTGGTTGGTCATTTGGTGGAAAATGTAAGGGAGGTAGAGGTAGTATTTCGCCTGTAAATCCATGCCGATAGGGTTTCTAATTTTTGGCTGAGTTATTTTTTTATTTCACGTCTGATTTATGCGCCACGTGGGATTTCCGTCCTCCACATGGCACATTCCGTTAGTCTAGGATGAGGAAGATCAATTGGGTGATGAACGGGTAAGAAACCGAATAGTTGGGAAAGCAATGAGTTATACTATAATATTTGATGAGCAGTACTAATGTACTCTAAAGTTCAGTAAGCATTGATTAAATTTCCTCTATAAGTACAAGAGGCGGTCATGGATGCTCCAATGGACCCAAGGATTGCGTGTAATAGGAACAACTTGGGCTACAGGAGAGGCCCGATAGTCAAATAACTCGTACGGCCTGCCCACCTTCCTTCTTGTGTTCAACTTATACCACATATGGCAAATACTAAATACACCCACAACCAAAAAACAAAAGAATGGAGGAAAATTTTGAAATGTAAACACAATCGATTTTAATAGAAAAATACTTCCTCTTTGCCACAATTAATTTCAGAATCTGCACGAGATTTTGTTAATCCTAACCAATAAATCCAATTCAATTATCACTGCTTTACTAGTCCCGAAAATTGCAAACAAATCCAAAATGAATTCAAACAATAAAAGGAAGAAAGATGCTTTTAGTTTATTAGAGAAAGATGATGCTACTAGTACATAGGAAATTACACGATAGTTTATATACAATGTCACAGAATGTTGAAAAGTTTCTTTTCTTTCTTTGGTTAAAGAAATTTTGACCAAATATATTTCATCACATCATGTTCATATAAATCATTATGTACATATTACACAAACTATTAAAAAAATTACAAATTTGGAGAATTTTGGAGATATGGTAGGTATTTTTCTCTTCAGTAAGAAATGCAATATTTTTCACTTTCTTAACAAAAACAAGATGGTGAATCCCAAGCAAAACTTGCAGTATTTCATGGAATCAACAAAGCAAGAAAGAATCAGCTCAACAGGAAAATCGTCGATTTCAGCTCACCAGTGTGAGAAGAAATCAACGGCCCATGATATTGACAAGGTAAACCGTAGATGGTCAATTAACTGTCACCAGTTATCAAATATTAAATCACCAATAGATCTTATGTTATTTCATAAAGTCGACAAAATAAGCAAGAAACAGCCCAACAAGAGAACCATGGATTTCAACCACATAAAAGAGAAGAAAAACAGCTGCGCCCGACGCAAGGTAAACCCTAGGGACGCCGCGGTTTTAGGTCACGTGACTTTCACCCGTTATCAAATACTACCACGAAAAACACCCATACAAAGAAGGGCTATATCCATTCAAAAAACACAAGCACCCTCTCTTGCCCTGCCTTTCCCTGCTACAACCATAAGGTTTTCACTGGAAGCATCAGGCATGCCAACACGCTTTTAGGAGTGCAAGAGCATGTTCTTATAAGAGGAAATGTTCTCGGACCTTTTAAGGATGTAACTGAGTTTCATTCATTTACAAAATCAACGTATCGATTCTATCTTAAAACAGTTTCATGGCCTAAATGGTCCTCCAGCCAACTCTCCTTTTTTAACCCATCTTTATTCCTCAACTCTTGACCATCTTCTTCGCGCCATCTCCATCTACCCAAGGGTGGAGCTAGCACTCTGCGAGCCCCCTGCTAGCTCCACCGGAATTTTTTCCTTATATTGGACAACCGCTCATACTCACTTGGATTCGCCCATGCTTACCTGAATTCTGGATTCCTCCACTGCATCTACCTACCACTGTCGTTGAGTCAGTCCTTTGTAACATCTGATAATGAAGAATCCGACATCAGGTGAACATCGGTACTGATATTCATTTGTAGGTCATATTCCCTAGATTATGATTTGGTTTGTCCTAGGTTTACTTGACTCTCTTAATGTTTTTTTTTACAGGTTGCCAGAGGGCTTGATGCAGAGGACAACTGCCCTCCATGGCTGAACAGAATCCTTTATTAAAGGACCAGTTCTTGTTCAAATGCAAGTTACTCACGTGCTAGGCAAAAAAATAGTTCTCATAAGCTAGAGAAATCACAACTGTGGATCAAAATCCACGCAACTGCGGGTCCCTCACATCGCTTCTTCCTATAACAGATGGCCTCGAGTTGCCACCAATGGTGTCATCAAGCAAACCCTCGACTCAAGACCGTCCTTTCTCCATCAACTTTGCCTCCATTGTTGAGCTCAAGTCTCTCGTCGCCTCAGGTAATGAAAAAGTTACTATCAAGCCAATTAATGTAAGATTGGCAAAAAAGTAGCTTTACCATAATCATATGGTGGACTTGAAATTTGTGGTGACCATAATACACGAAATTGTAATTCCCGCAGCTTATGAGTTGAAAATTTCAAAGTAGTTTGATTTGTAAACTGTAGGACCTACAATTACGTGTATTGTGATCCCCACAAATTGCAACTCTACCAACTGCTTATAAGAAAGCTACTTTTTTGCCAAACTTGAATTAATTCGCTTGACAGCAGATTTTTCATTAGCAGAGGTTACAAACAATTGAGCACAACAATGGAGGCAAAGTTGATGGAGACAGCACCAGAAAGGATGGTCTTGGGTCGAGGGTTGTCAAAGTAGGAGAGTTTGTTCGACGACCATTTCCGAGGCCATCAGTCCATTAAAGGAGTGAAGCAGGGAGAAAGAGAGAATTCTTCCGATTTTGCAACTGAACAAATCCAGGAGATGGTGTAACAGTTTATTTGCACTGAGCTTATGATGTATTATTGAATTTCATCTCCTTATTTCTAAATACAAGAGAAAGAAATCAGTAATTGGAAAAAAGTAAAAATGTTTTAGCTGTGTATAGCATTAATTATGCGCATCTTTTCCTCCAAAGAAAGCAATAAAAGAATAATGTCATTCACGAAGATTTCAAATCAATCTTGAAATTATATAGAGCTCTCACAAGGTAACACTAGGATCAGATCCATAATAATTCGAGATTTTATTTTAGGCAGAACTTACATGGAGCAGTTAAGTAGCTATTATAAGCCCTTTAGGACCCCAAGCTCGTCCAAGGAGGACCGTAGATCAGCACTGCTGCATTCTTCAGTCGTCCGAACAACATTGGGACTGTCGAGCGATATGACATCTGTAAGGGGGTAGCTTCTGTTAGCATGGACTTGGTTGTTTGCACTGCTGCAAACTCCTTCCAGTACTACAGACTTGTGAATACCACCAAGCAATCCTTCATAGTCAGTATCGCCACTTTCACCAACAAAAACCACTACCTTTGATAAGTCCATTCCCCAACGAAGATATAAATACCTAGAGACCATGGTTTACACGTTAATTCCAGCTAACACAAGGTTCACAAGATAAACAAAATGGCATCATAAAATGTATTCCTAATGTCCCGTAGGTAAAGATGATCGTTCAGATCAAAGCACAAGAATCCATTTGTAACAAATGCAATGAGAATTTTTAAGTGGTTTTTGAGTTATGCTAATTCTGATACAAAACTATCTCTATACAATTTAACCAACAGCAAATGATTCAGAAAAAGATACGATACATTAGTCGATTCTGAAGAGACTGCAATATAATACACACGCTTCTTAGACTCGCGTCAAACAGCATCATCAAACCATAGAACTTCAAAATACACTTGAAAAAGGCTGATAGCCTATGGAAAGAATGATGGTTCTTATTTGTCATCCATCTTTTTACTATCTTCTAGTGGAGGCGAGGATGCATCTGTAAGAACGGATAAATTTCGAGAAATATAAGATTATTTTTCAGCGATCAATTGATAACCTATGCTGCTGCGGGAAGTGGGGTAGAAGGGTGAGAAGGAAGGAAGACAGATTATTTCCTTTGAGAACTGATACAACCTTCAAATTAGAGCCCTATGATTGGAATCAAACATTGTTGGAGTCTTGTAAGTTTCAAAAATATGACATGGAAAAGAACAGATAAATAAACTACGCCAACAGATATACTAAACTACCAGCAGAAATTTTACCTGAGTGCTTGGGAACGAGATGCCAGTACTGGAATTACATTAATCTTACTTCCGTTTTGGCAATAAATAACATGACAACGCAATGCCTGAATTCTCATTATCTTTCTTACTTCCTTAACAGGGGGAACCTGCAAAGAATAACATTATCAAGTGAAATAGCATTAGATATATCACAATCCTAGTAGACCACGCTACAACCAATGAGACATTAAGAACTACATTATAGTCTCAACTTGGCACCAAGAAATGCTCGAAACCCAAAAAGATCATAAAAAGGAAGGGTATGAAAGAAATAGAGTTACCACTCCAGGCTTCCGAACTTTGAAAGAATAGCAGTAGTCAGCTGAAGTCTCTTCATCTTCAACGACAAGGTGATCTTCTTTTTCTCCCTTCTTATCTGTTATAGAAGATGCCCATCTCACCAAAGTCTTCCTCAAACCTTCACCACCCCAACGGTACTCAATTTGTGAATGATAATACAGGTCCACCACTAAAAGGTTATCTTCTGAGTGAAGAGATGAATAATAAAGATCGCCACCACTGTTGCAAATAAATGCATCAAAATCGGTAGGATTCAAACCCTCTGAACGCAGAAAAGAACGTAATTCTGTAATGTTGAAGGATGTAGCTAAGATAAATCCAATTGAGCCTTCAGCCCTTTCCTTCTCCACGGCCTCAAAAATCTTACGAACACTTTCAGAAAGGTCTGTACTTGTGTCAGAATCCACAGCAATCACAAAAATATGTTTCCTCCTCCTCAATGCTGGGAACTTACCAGCAGCAGAATTCTGGTCTCCCTTATCAGTGGACCCAGATTTCTGTGCACTCTTCAGAACACCCCTAGACCACGTCAAAACAGCACTTTCTAGCTTACTTTTACGATCTTCAGGGTCTAAAGACTCATCTACATTTTCTTGGCTCTCATTTTTATCTCCATCAAGTGAAAACTTCAAGTTCAAGGAGATGTCCTGTATATCTCTCAAGGAATCACTTGGTGAATCAGATTCGGAGTTTTCATCATCATCATCGTTTCTTAACCAACGTGGTTGCCTTGGTTTGCAACCTGCTATTTTAGATAGGTATGTTTTACAGTGTTCTGGCCAAGAGAAAAGGTGAATATTTTTCAGTCCATTAGCTCTGCACTTTGCCCAGAGATGCTTGTCAGCAACCAGCTTCAAAAGAGCATCAGCAATGGACTGCTGATCGTGGGGATCCACAAGGAGACCATTATCTAGAACCTGCAACAAAAATTAAAAATCAGTGTGAGACACGTAATCTTCAGGAGACAAATGGTAACAATAAAATCCTTATTACTCAATATTTATTAGAAAAAAGAGTAGAAATACCCTGTGTATGTCAACAGGACCACCATTTTTTGTGGCAACAATTGGTAAACCATGTGCTGCAGCCTGTTTAATGGAAAAGAAATTACACTGGTTATCTGAACAAAATAGTCCTGTCAGAGCTAAACATGCATATAAACAAAAGGTATACCTCAATTAGAGTAAGTCCAAAAGGCTCGATGAAAGCTGGATTGATGAAAACACCCTGTCGAAACAAGATCAATTTATGTCCAATAAGTTTCACCAAAAGTAGTATTATGAAACAAATTCCTCTTAGCAAAGGGTATGTGGGAGATGGTGAAACTGTTCACACACGGAATATAAACCCACATATATGAACAGGATTATTAACATGCAATTCAATGGAAGTTTCAGTTAACATGAATTATTATACTCCAAGTCCCCAAGAAAATTAAATAAAAGTCCGTGCCCCCATTTTTCTGGTTGGTCTTTGCCTCAAGATTTAAACTGGGACTGTTATTGAGTCATTTGAAGGCCAACTCATCTTAACAGGCCTTCATCTTGATGCACGTTTGATGAGAATTCTCATGCTTTGTAACAAGCATCCCACTTTTTCCCCGACTAAGTCAGCAGAGGACCAATCAAAAGACCAATTTGGAAATGAGACCAGTAGTGTGCACTGTTCCTGTAGAATATTTAAGTTACATTCTAACTTTATGTTCAAAGAAAGACGGGGAATTGTTTCAGATCTTTTTTACAGTCTTCCATTTCTGCATTTTAATGTCTTCAAAAGTGGTTTGCAACTATAGTTTATTGTTCTAAATTTGGCAGATGGATGGCATTTGGATAGAATGTTGGGAAGACACCTTTTTCACAAGGATTAAACAATATGGTACATTAAAGTATGTCAAACCCAAATATTAAAAAGATTAAGCCATGTCATCCACAAAATTCACCAACCTGCTAAGGTTTTTCCAGCCTAACAAAATTGCACAAGCTGCCCACATTGTAAACCTGAAACTGAATTTAACTCACCACATACACCAAACTCCAATTTTCAGCTTTGATTCATTGATCAACTATTTCTACATTTTGCATCAAACAATTATATTAAACAAGCAAACATCAGCAATGAGCAACAAAACCATAAGACACCAGAGAATTGAATCCCATTCCAACTTCAACTTAAAATCTCATTGCTGAAGCGCCTGGAAGTACTCAAAATAGCCGCACCAATGGTTTTACCTATCATTGTCAAAACAAGACCGCTAATTCAATCGGAAAATCCAGTCCATTTATAGCCTAAAACTGGATGCCAAAAGACAGGAATAAAACCGGTGAACCATCTGCTTCAACTGGTTGATTGGTTTTTCTGGATATATTTATTAAAAAAATGGATTACCAAATCAGACCCCCGCCTTGTTTTCCTCAAGGATTCGTTCAAAAATGAATAAGTTTAACAGGGAAGAAAAGGTAATTAAGACTCATTCTAAAGAAGCTTTAAATTAAGACTCGCACTTGACAATGAAACAAGACATAAATAAAGCATCCGCATGCCGATAATTTTGTAAAAGTATAGATTCTGTGAAATTTATCTACCATATAATTATCCAATGACAAGACAAAAACAGCTCCTCAAGCAGTGCCATTGAATTCTGTAAAACACTTGGCATGAGATGGGGTACAAATGAACTGATCATCTTTCCTAACAAGCAATTTAGATTAACAAGCTCAAACGACAATGATTTTGACCAAGCAAGCTTATTAGAGAATCTTGAAACGTGCTTGGCCTAGTTCAGCCCACTCAGGAACATCAGAAATAAGAAAGCTTCTTAGCAGAATTGAGTACTTCATATACAAACTGTTAAGATGACCAATCAAATATTATAAAGGAAATCTTTCGTGCTCACTCAATTATCCAGTAGAGACGCTTTGAATCAATCAAAACTGATATAGATCAACATATGAATACCCGAAGAACCAAAATGCCCGAGCTACAAAGAAACGTGATAATACCTTTGTCTTTGCTGCTAGGCGGTAGATTTCAGGAACATCAGACTGCCTATGATGTTTGGGATATGCCACTTGACCATAGAGATCATACTTATCAATCAGCTTAAGGATTGACAGAAGAAGGGAAGAATTTGTACTTGACATCTCATCAATATTGTCTCGGTTGCCCATTATTAAGGTCTGCAAATTATGAAGGCAAGAATTACATTAAATGACAAGACTAGCTTAATTGCTCCACTCAATGCAGAGAGTATCAAGAGCACATATACTGTTGTATTTTCATACATACAAGGTTTGAAAGCTCTCTTAATGGTCGACATTCACCAAATGCTTTGACCAAGGTTGTTAGGTTTTTCTTTGGATCTGGCCTGGCTAGTGCAAGTATCATAGGCTTCCTTGGATTTGAAAAGAACCGCATTATCTGCTTGTAATACCAATGTTAGATACCATATTTACATTTAGTAACGGTATAAGAGAGATCAATTATTGTGGGACAATATATTGCACAGAAGTTGAAACTGTGGGGTGTTTCTAAATGTGTGTGTTGTAAATCGATCAAACCTCTGACCAAATAGGAGGATCTGGTGACTTTCCATCTTCATTCACTTCTGTTTCAGCATCAATGTCACCTTCGTGGGGAATAATGTGATTAAATTCCATCCCGGGTGGAATTACCTGGAACCAGGTACTCATGCCCTCAATTAAATCACACAGAGCTCACATGCATAACCGTCTCAAGAATAAAACATAAAACATGAAGTCATGGAAACTATAATTCTATGCAATGAAAGATAACAACTTCACTCTAGACAATCAGGATTATCTGAAACATAGACGTAGAAACCATTTGCACAAACAAATTGCAAACGTAGAATCATTTTTTGGGAAAACCAGGATCACGAAAGCTAAGGGTACGTTTAATTGCAAGCATAGAATTTGCATGAAAATAAAATAAATTCTAAATAATTCAATTGATAAAAACTTATTTGCATGAAAATTATCAATTAAATGGGTTTGATTGATTTCATTTTCAACTAAGAAAATATTGTACTTGTTCATTTATTATTGAAGTGTAGCTAAGAGAGTGGATAGATGGTAGAGAGAAAAAGAGAGTGAATTCCTCGGAAAATAAAATCATACTCTCCCTAAAAAAAATATTTTTTTGATTTTGAGGTAAATTTGGTCACGTGATCAAAAGTAGGAAAATGTTTTCCATAAAAAAATGGCAATCAAAGAGCATAAAAGTAGAATTTTGGGTGGAATTCTTGAAAAGTATTGGCAATCAAATGCACCCTAACTTCAAGATCAGCCAGCTAAACCTTTTTCACCCAGCACAATATTATCAAAGGCTGAATAACTGATAATAAAGAAAATGGTGTTTCCTATATGGAACTGGGGGTTTCACAAACATTAGCGATGATAAAACATATGCCATGAAACCAGTGATATGGTACTTACAACCATGCGAGGCATGGACCTTCCATAGCAGCTAACATTGCGCCTGATTCTAGCACGCAGTTTACGCTCTAGTATAGGATCAAAACCATCGTACAAACGCCACTGCTCCTCTATCTCCTGCCTTGTGCTAGTTATGACTATCTCTGAGGCATCAAGGGCTAACTCTTCTGCCTCTATTCTACGCATTATTTTGTACGTTGAATTTATCTCATCCCTTGACAGCCTGCCTTGTCTTAAAAGTTGTTCCATCTTATCTCGACCCAGAGAATGACCAGTGAAAAGCATAGGCACATTCAGAGCACCGGATAAGAGAGCACCGGAGTCACCTGCATCTGCATAATGCCCGTGGATAGCAATGGGCCAGACTGGATGTCCATTACCAATTTGGTCGCCGAGAACCTTGGACATCTGTATTATATGGCCAAGAGCACCATCAACGAATTCAGGGATATAAGGCCAAAGGAGTTCTTTTGGAATATATTTATCTTTTGGTCCAAAAGGAATTCGAATGATATAAGCACCGCTACTCTCCCCCATCTCATCCATTAGACCTTCTGAATTTCTAGGAGGCAGCATCTCTGTGGGTTCACCATAGCTACAGTCTACATCTGGTGCTGATATTTGTCATATTTTTTTTTTCTAAACCCCCCCCCCCCATCTTTACATCATAGCATTAACTACGAAAAAACCGCATCAACATATAAGCAAACGTCTACAATCCCTTCAGTAGCTGGAGAAGTCATGCACAGGATTATAGAAGTGCAATATCATATAACAACCATTTTGCAACAGAACCTCTAGGTAGTATCACCTTATTGGGGCAAGAAAATAGCACCAGATACCAAGTTTAAATTACTCCAACTCCTTTTCAATACAGTAAACATAGAGTTTTACTTCATACCTGATCAATACAATGTACATCTTCTTCCCCTTTTGTTGACTAGCCCAGGCCTCGATAGTATCAGCCGAACTAATTCTGGGCAAGCGACCTCGATTGCTTTCACCATGAGCAGATATATCAGTAACTGTATCTCCTTTCTCTCCCTCAGATAAGTCTTCTGACATATCCGCAACAGCATCTCTGCGACCTCTTTCACGTTCAAGACGGCGTTTGGTGATCCTCTGTGCTTCCTCTCCCTCAAGCTGCACACATTTATTATTTGTCAGCAAAAGCAACAATGATGCAGCAGAGTATAAATGGGTAGACAACACACAAAATAGCATAACTTGTACAAGCATTTCAAGATTCTATAAAGAGTAATGCTATCGAGCACCAATGTTGTTTAAAATCAGTCTAGATGGCAGCACGTGTGGCATTAAATAATAGGTTGAAGTAAATACAAGGATTTATGACCAATTTAATAGGACCAATTACATGAAGGCACATGGACTTGTGTTCAACACCACTAGTGCTAGAAAGCATTATTCTTTCATAAATCAAAATGGTGTGGAAAGATTATCAATTGGCCAATTGCATTATGGAGAGTGGAGAAAATAAAGAAATGAAGTTAATATACATTACAAATATCATAGTTGACAGAGATTGCAAAAGAAGGAAATTTTTCCTCAAAAGTTTCTCTTAATTGACAAGAGAACTTGGACATTGAAAATGTCATTCCATTGCATCGAATTTCCATTTCTCCCTTCTCTGCCAATACAACTAAACAGTAAAATCAATCACTAAAACATCGATCAATTCATCACTCACCGTTAGTATCACATAATCATGTACACCTACAATTAAGGATGGAACTCCACACCGAACAAAGATGGAAATATTAACCCACGTATAAGGGCTTGAGGATCTTAATTGACCCAAGTCTTAATATTCCAGTTAACATTTCCATCTCTATTCGATTTGGGGTTCTACCCTTAAACACTTAACAACAAAAGTCCAACAAGAAAACAGAAAGGGCAAAAAAAGACCTGCTTTTTCTGGCGAGCCAAATTCCAAATCCGCCAGCACATGTTCTCCAGCCGTGTGTTTCTCTCTTTTGGACTCCGAGTTGCTTGTGCCTAAAATTTACACACAAAAACACTCCATTCAACACATATACAGAACACTTAATTCCACATACATACAGACAGATACAGTTACACATCTGAAAATACTTACTTTCACCCAGGAGCGGTGGAGATCTGTCTCGTCAAATCCACTGACAACTTCCTCCACGAAGTACCTAGTCGGGCTGAACCTGCCCCGTTCCCGGAGTAACAGTGACGATTTAGCATCATCGATCCCAGGTCCAACATCCAGTATAGCCTCCAGGTAACTATTTATCCAATCATTTCCCGCCATTCCACCGATCCTATATATGAATATACACAGAGATAGATACTGTATAGATGTATAAAAAGTTGAATTTTTTTTTGTATGTATATGTTAGTGTTTGTTAATCTGAAGAGAGAGAAGAAGACGAGGGGGAGATGTCTCTGGGAGGTGGTGATAAAGACTGTAATTGGAAAAGGATATTTATAGAGAGATTCTTGGAATATTAGAATAGGATGCTAATGTTGCTGCAAATATTTAGGGGCAACATATTTTTTATTTTTTCCTTTCTTATGAAATTAGAAAATTGTAATTTTGAATTTTGATAAACTGCAATTAGATGGTAATTATAAAATTTCATACAATTAACATTATAAGATTTTATATAATTTCCTTTTTGTGGGTCGATTTATCTGAATATTAAAACTAGAGTTCAGAAAGATATGATTTTTAAACATATTGTGTGTATGCATCGAGAAAGCAAAGATAATAATTAAGGTGATATTAGTATTAGAAAAAAATAAAGTGAAAGATAACATGTATGTGGATGAATAAGCAATCGAAAACATAATATGGCGAGGTTTATACGTAAGGGGAAAATAAATTATACATAAGAGTAAGGGCTATTTGCGTTAAAATTAGGAAATCTTTCGCACTTTGAGTTGTCTAATTTACCAAGCTTTGATTCACAAGCTTATTTGAAAGTTAATCATTTTAAAATTATTGAAGCATGAATTATTTTTCTTATGCATTATTATCAATAAATTGAAGCACAAAATAAAACTAATATCATATTAAAAATAGAATTGGAGCATTATAGATTTAAAGTAGTATATACGTGTGAATAAACCACAATTCAAAAGGATAATATGCATGAATTCTTAGAAATTACTGATGATCGAGTAGAAAATATATTTGCAGACAACAAATTTAAGATTTGATCACGTTTGTTAATTCTTCTGGCTCATTGCGATAAAAGAGAAACGTATTATGTACAAAATATTATTGTGAATGAAAAGTAAGGGAGGATTGAAATAGAAGGGATCATTTTCAAATTTTTGCTCAGAGAAATTTGGGCTTTAAAAGGTCAATGACGTGATAAGAAAGTGAGCTCAAGTCTCGAAACTTAGCCCTCATTTGACCTCCATTATATCTCATTAAATTAAATTAAATTTTTCTCTCTCCTACTTTTTAACCACACAATATTCAATAAAATAATATTATACGTAAATCAAAAAATTTTCTTTTCTTTTCGACCACTCATTTTTCAAAAAAAAACATTATTCAAAACATTATAATCTCCACATAATGAGGCTGAAATGGGGGCTTATTGAACCTAGACTCATGATAAGGTGCTTATCATTTTTAATATTATTTTAATTATTTTTAGATATCGTTATAAGTCACTATTTTATTTTATTTTATTTCAATAAAATAATTAAAAGTACTATGTTTATTTTAATTAGTATGTTTAACATTTAAAAAGTAAAATGCCCGTCTTTAAAGGCCTAGGTATGCCTTTTGCCACCTAAGCCACTTTTTGACACTTAAAACTCGCATTAAACAGTGAGAAATAGAGCTTATCCTTTTTTCACACTTTTTTCATATGCAAAGCTCTTTCACCAGAATAAAGCCACTTGTATAATGTTTATGCACAATTTGACTGACAACAAGTGTGCTGAAAAAATTTTGACCATTGATTTTAAAAACAATTTTTCAAATGAACGGATGTGATGTTTGTCAATTCATGCATTGTAAACTAAGTTGTAAAATAAATTGTATGAGTAGCACAATTGTTTTCACCTAAGCCCTTCTTTTTCTTCCTTGAAGAACGCTATTCATATCCATCGATTGTTTTTGTGTATCTATCAATTCACCTATTTTCAGTTTAGGGGCTTTGCATTTTTCAGATTTCTTTTTGTATTTCTCTTCTATGACATTGAAAATTGTAATTTTGAATTTTGATGAATTGCTGTTAACCGATAACCAGCCAAATTTGGAAATTATATAGTACTAAGTTACATATATGGACAACATCGAAGATTTTGTGTAATGTCATTCATATTTATTGGTCTATCGATCTGAGCTTTTAAAATTTAAGTTCAAAAAAGCATGGTTTAAAGACACGAGTGCATGAAAAAATTAAAGTAACGAAGGGTATGTACTTGTGAGTAAAGTGTGAGTTGAAACACGGCATCATTTCTTTAATTCTTTAGAATAATAATGATCGAGTAGAAAATACAAATTTTGCATATCTCAAATTAAAGATTTTATCACATTCATTATTCGTCGGCTAATTACAGTAAAGAAGAAAGGTAAAAAATATGGTTGTGCAAGAAATGTTATAAGAATTTTTTTTAATGATCTCCGATCTCTAAAAATCAGTAAATTAATCCTTGCCTATCCATTATAGTTGCACAATTAATTTTCGATGATGGAAACCGTCCAAATACTTTTATTGAATATTTACATTGCTCTCACATATTTAACTTTATAAAATAATGTTGTTCTTCCTAGATTGGATTGCTGCATTAAAATTTGAACTTACGAACACTTCCATAAGGATTACATGACAATTTAACGTAACATTTTGACAAGTTGAATTGTTGATGGTTGATTATCAGCTATAGAGAAAGATTATGGCCAATTTATTTGTTTTTATAAATAAAGATTCAATTTTCTTTTGTGACAACACTTTAAAATAGAGGGTGCAATTTTTCCTAATGTTATCGACTAGATAACTATTTCTTTGTTTCACATATTGCTAGTAAAGTGCTATTTAAAAAAAAAAAAAAAACAAAGCTCATGTTATGTCACTCAAAAATCAGTGATCATATGTGCATGTGGTTTAGAATTATAATTTATATTTACAATTATTAAAATTTCAAACTTGTGAATCTTGTTAGTGTAAGCTTTATATGGATAAATATTGTAATAAATAAGAATGAAAAAACACAGACTAAAAGGTAGGCTGTGTGTGTAAAAGCAGCCTGAATGAAGAACCTAACATGGCCCAGATTCCACATTATACATGTAATTAGTAAAACGAAGATTTCTTTAATTCTTTAATTAACAATGTAAATTTGTTAATCCTAAAATTAAGACTTTGTTATAACCTAAGTGTAGCACTGGTTCCACCCTATACATGGGGGATTTGTTCAGGACAACTCTCTCAAACCTTGTCTCGTATCCATTCAATTATGTAACACGTATGAGCATAAACTTACATAGCCAATTGAGCTATGAAAAGTTTTTTTTTTTCTTAACTTTTTGTTTTTGAAGAAATGCTCGAATTTCTGTTCAATTGAATTAGCAAAAGTTAATTCGTATTCTCTTGACTATAAATCACATTATGATATAATTTAGAACTATATTTTATAGTTACATAATTATCCATATATCGTCTATGATATATACTAATTGACTATCGTTTATTACTACATATCAATATATTCAAAAGAATATTGTGTTTGTGTGTGTGTAAAGGTGATCTGAAATTTAATTTGTGGGACTCTCCATCAACTAAATCTCATAAACCCATATGGAGACACCCACAAATGAAATTAACTATGTTGAGATTGATATCTTGTAAACGTTGTTTGGTTTGGTATATTACATATACGTTGCCAATAGTTTCAATAGTAACGTGAGCTATTTATAAAATATTGATTCTCATAGCCCCCCCCCTCCCCTCCCCTCCCCGCCCTTTTTATGGACTAAATTTGAATGATTTGCGGTTTGACCGTGAACTAACCAAATAAAGAAAAATCATACTATAACAATAAGGGAAGTTTACAAAATACAACATGTATATGGAGCGTAATTACACTATATTATAAAAGATTTTCAAGGCCAAGCCAGTTTAATAACCATAACTGTAACTGTAAAAGTCAATAAGGCTTGGATAAAAGTGATACTAAATAAGAATTTGAAAAAACGTAGGGTAGAAAGTAAGCTTTATTTGCAATAAAGCGTGAATAAAGATTGCAGTTTGACCGTGAAATAATCAAATAAAGAAAAATTATATTATAACAATGAGGGAAGATTACAAAATACAACATGAATATGAAGCGTAATTACACTATATTATAAAAGATTTTCAAGGCCGGGGCAGGTTTAATAACCATGAGTGTAAGTCAATAAAGCATGGATAAAAGTGATACTAAATAAGAGTTTGAAAAAACATAGACTAGAAAGTAAGCTATATTTGCAATAAAGCGTGAACAAAGAACCTAACAAGACGTAATTTCTTTAATTCCTTAATTAACATGATTACGGAGAAAATAGTAATTTTGCAGATCAGAAAATTAAGACTTCGTTGTAAATAAGATGTAATTTGTGGAGCTATATTACCCCTATAGCCATGATTCTACCCTTTACATAGGGTCGAGTATCCATTTGACACTTAAATTTTGTCTTTCATAATTATTCCTACTCTCAATTCTATAACATGTTATGAACATGAAATTTTAGCCGATTGAGTTATCAAATGAGATTTTTATTTTTTTAATTTTTAAAGAAAGGCTAGAAGTTCTTTCCAATCAATTTGCAAATGTTAGTATTCGTTTGGCTCCAAATTACATATGATAAATGGAAAAATCCTATTTTGTTATATCATTGTCACTATATAGACGTAACTTGATTGAATATGTATTAATACATATTGATATTCTAAAAGAATGTTGCGGTGTTGCTAAAATAGAGCACTATTTAGTGTAATTTTTTATACTTACTAGGATAGATAATCTTGTGGTTTTGTTATAACCTTAATTCAAATTCATGTTAACGAACTTTTGTTTTCGCTTCCTAGTATGGATGTGGTTTGGGGGCGTGGTTTGGAGAAAGAATGTAAATACAAGGTTGTTTGGAGTCAATGATGAAATAAGATTGTAATTGGTGACAATTTCTTAGATTCTTGTAAAATTTTGATTGTAAAAGTGAAAGTACAAATTTTGCACATCTCAAATTAAGTTTTGATCACATTTAATAGCGTAAAAACAAATTGTTATAAAGTGGACATGTCATCAATTTGCAAATGTTAGTATTCGTTTGGCTCCAAATTTCATATGACAAATGGGGAAAATCCTATTTTGTTATATCATTATCACTGTATAGACATAACTCGATGAGCAAAGCTATACTTATAGAAATGATGGCTACAGAATTGATACAGAACACACACATATAGGGT